ATTTATTTATTTATTATGTATGCAATATTCTGTCTGTGTCTATGCCTGCAGGCCAGAAGAGGGCACCAGACCCCATTACAGATGGTTGTGAGCCACCATGTGGTTGCTGGGAATTGAACTCAGGACCTTTGATAGAGCAGGCAATGCTCTTAACCTCTGAGCCATCTCTCCAGCCCCCTAGACCTTCACTTTTGAAGTTGCCTCCTCCCTGCAGTCCTGAGCCTCCCCGCCCACTTCTCCCCTACAGAAGGGTTTTCAGGAAGTTTCCTCCTGTGGTGTGCTGCTGTCATCTGACCAGTGTCCTCAATCTGGCCATCGCCCAAGTGATGCTAACTCGGACGACAACCCTACTTCCATTCCACTTCTGGTCCTTCCAGAATAACACATCCACTCCCTAGATTCTGAGCTGGTCAATGGCATTGGCGAAAAAAAAAAAAAAAAACAGAGCAAGACTAGCGTCCTCACCCTGCTCCTCTGCGGCAGCCCCAGCTCTACCAGAACTGACAGTGCCTCTGCTCACATTGCTGAGCCTTGTCTCAGAACCACTCTGTTCCCACTGTCCTAAGCCCTATGGCAAACCTGGGGCAATCCAAGGGGGTATGTGTAGGTGGTACCCTGCTGCTATGGCCGGTGTTCCCAGGACAGATTATGGACACAGCTCCTACCTCCATACTCAGAACCCACTCTCCCAGCCGAGCAGAGACACCTTGGTGAGGGAACGGGTTGTGCTGCAGCAAAGATTAGGAGCCAACGATGAGGACATGCCATAACTGCCAGAATCTGAGGACTCTCATTCTCTTTCCAGTGACCAGGGTAAGCTGGTCCCATAGAAAAGCTGTATAGCAAGAGCAGAAGGAATGGCCAGTACACCTTCCCTTGGGGCCAAACGCCTCTACTTTGATAAGCACTGCTTCCAGTCACATAAGGATATCTGCGCCCTTCTCCTCCCTGCAGGGCCTTCCTCCTTCCTTCAACAGGGAATGCCTGTATCCCTAAGCAATGAGAAAATCTGGGCAGAGGTACCAAGAAAGTTTACAAAAATGGGCTCATGTCCCCAGGAGCATGTCCTCACCTGCTTGGCAAGTTTGACAGAGTCACTGGTGAGGCGTGAGCGAAGCTGGGGGTCCATATGGGCAGCAGGAGCAATCTCAACTACCTTCTGATGCCGCCGCTGGATGGAGCAGTCACGCTCGTACAAGTGCAGGATGTTCCCATACTGGTCCCCTGAGCATACAAGAAACTGAATTCAGCCTTTCCTAGAATCCAGGTGCCTCCTCCTACATGCTACCTGCTTTGCCCCAGGGCCCCTTTCCAGGGGGTGATCCCTGGGAAGGCTGTCCCAAAGGATGATGCTGTAAACCAGGGAGATCTAGGCTCCTCTTATTCACACAACCCCCACTTACCTAGGATCTGCACCTCGATGTGCCGTGGCTTTTCAATGAACTTCTCCACAAACAGTGCCCCATTCCCAAAGGCTGCCAAGGCCTCAGAGTAGGCTCGGGTGTAATTCTCCTCCAGCTCCTAGAAGGGCAGGCAAGGCCAAGCAGACATGGGACCACCTCTGCACACTTCCCAGAGCCCACTGCAGGAGATGCCTGCCTGGCACCCAGCCCTCAGCATACGTGCTACCATGCTCACCTCATAGCTGTGCACAACCCTCATGCCACGGCCCCCACCTCCATAGGCAGCCTTGAAGATAATAGGGAAGCCATAGGTTCTGGAGAACTCGTGAGCCTCATGCATTGAGTTGATGGGGGCATCAGTGCCAGGGACCACTGGGACACCTGTTGGGAGGGTATGAGGGGGTCTCTGTAGCAGACTATGTCTCTACTACATCTTGTCAGAGAAGCACACTCTCACACTGGCCCTTGTCTACTAGCCCAGCAGGAGCTGAGTGTTACCTGCAGCGATGGCAATGGCCCGGGCCTCCACTTTGTCTCCCATCTTGCGGACTACCTCTGGACTTGGCCCAATGAACCGGACTCCAGCATCCTGGCAAGCTTGAGCAAAGTCTGCTCTCTCTGAGAGGAACCCGTAGCCTGGGTGCACAGCATCAACACCATTCTCCTGTAAGTGGCAGAAGAAACACCTGTGTGCCTTCGCCTTTCTCCTTTGCCTGCTGGGCTGCACCTCAACCCCTACACATCCTGCTGGTAGGTGTGGGTACAAGGCACAGCACAGAATCTTGCCCAGTGTCAGGAGACCCTGGCATCTCCTAGGCCAAGGTGATTCTACCTTGGCCACTTTGATGATATCTGGGATGTGCAGATAGGCCTGCACAGGCGCCAGGCCACGACCAATAAGGTAGGCTTCATCAGCTTTCTGCCGATGCATCTGGCCTGTGTCCTGCTCCGAGTAGACGGCCACTGTGCGGATGCCCAGTTCTGTGCAGGCACGAAACACTCGGATGGCAATCTCACCTAGGAGAAGCAGGGTGAACAGTTAGACTCCTGGGTCCAGAGAAACACAAAAGGAGACAGACAGAACAGAGTGATGAGGAGGAGATCAGGCTAGGCTGACCCCAACCCGAGTACTGGTAGTGCTCACCCCTGTTGGCCACCATGACTTTCTTAATGGGCTTGTACTCCATGCGCCGTACATTTGGGGAGGCAACAGGGGCAGTGGAGGAGCGGCGGACACCCAGGAGCCTCAGGCCCCCTCGAACTGTTTGGAACTTCAGCATCTGAGGAAAGGCAATCAGAGTCCAGGTTAGAGCAGGCTGGGCACTGAGCACCCCAGATCCTGAAAGAGAGAGGAATCTCAACACTCAGGAGACCACAAAAAACGACAGTGCCAACTCTAATTCCATTTGTAGTGGAGCTCTGGAGGTCAGCCCAGCAAGGTCAGCCCAGTGGAGCTCAGCTCCACAGCCTCCTACTGAGTACAGTGTTTACATTTCAGAGGCTACAGAGTGGCCTATGCAGGCCTAGTGTGCATCTCTATGCTCTGTAGGCTCACAACTCTCATTCTCCACCAACATCCAGTATGGGCTTTCTCCTCACGTTAATCCTGTCAGCCCGCTCTCCTAGGAGCTAGCCTTGGTGGCGCACGCCTTTAATCCCAGCACTCGGGAGGCAGAGGCAGGCGGATCTCTGTGAGTTCGAGACCAGCCTGGTCTACAAGAGCTAGTTCCAGGACAGGCTCCAAAAACCACAGAGAAACCCTGTCTCGAAAAACCAAAAAAAATAAAACACAGCTTTCTTTAAACAGAAGCCTGGACCTTCTACTGGAGGATATCAAGTAAAATATTTATGACAACCACAAAAAGCAAGTCAAGAGGCTGGTCACAGAGACACATGCCTTGGGATTCCACTGACAGTAGGTTCTAGGATGGTTATGGCGGTGTGATAGGCTGAGGAAGAAGGGAGAGAGGGACTCTTCTCACCTGAGGGTAGGAGAGAGAGCTGTATTTAACTAGGACAAAGTTTCAGGTCTGCACCATGAAAAGAGCTTTGTAGATGACGGTGGAATGGCTGTGAATGGACTTAAAGCTACCGAACTGTGTATTGGCAGAGACAGGAAACCTGGCATTGTCTACTAAAGAAAACTTATATACCACAAAACAGGTCTCATAGCCGACCACTAATTTTATAAGTTAAAGATTCAGCTGGATGTGGTGGCTGGAACCTGGGGCAGGAGGATTGCTGGGTTTGAGGCTATCCTTGACTACGTAGTGAGTTCCAGGATGGCTTGAACTACAGTGTGATTTTACACCCACTCCCTCAAAAAAAAAAAAAAAAATCAAAAGAAAGCTACAGAGGTAGGGAGAAGTAAACGAGGGAAGGTAGTCCTTTGGAGTTACTGCTTCATGAAAGAGTCTGTAAGACATTCTGCAGGACACAGAAGAAAGTGATTGAACTGTCTTTAAAAATTCCTGCTTCATGGAAATGTCTGCTGGGTACTATGGGCCTGCAGGCTGAAGATGGATGTCCCAACCGTACAGAAGAACTTTGGGTGACTGTCCAGGCATCGAGATGTCTCTGTCAAGTCTAGAGTTTTGGAGGTTACTTATAATGCACTTCCTGTTTACTTGGGAAATATCATATCCTTCTGGAGTCTTTTTTTAATATTTATTTATTTATTTATTTATTTATTTATTTATTTATTATATGTACAATAGTCTGTCTGTGTGGATGCCTACAGGTCAGAAGAGGGCACCAGACCCCATTACAGATGGTTGTGAGCCACCACGTGGTTGCTGGGAATTGAACTCAGGACCTTTGGAAGAGCAGGCAATGCTCTTAACCTCTGAGCCAATCAGCAAACAGGTAGCAAATACAGCGTGGAGACTCTGTACAAAGGATAATTCTCAATTTGGATGGGAGGAAGTGGCAGGTGGCAAGATTTCATTACACACCCAGAACAGCATACCACCTAAAACTTATGACTTGTTTACTTCTGAAATTTTCCCATTTAATATTTTTGGAGCATAATTTGTCATGGATGACTAAATTGAGAAAAGAGGAGTTGGTGGATTCGAATGCTCACCACAGTGTGGACAGACTGAGCCAACTCTTCACTGACTAAGAGATGAAGAAAGGTCCAGCACCAACATCAAACTGACATGATTGGTGCCTGGCCCTGAAGTTATCCACCAAGATGGAAGCCAGGCTTTTACAGAGCCTTGCCTCAGATACACAACCCAAGCTTAACTAAAGCCTAATTCGCATATTCTGTCCAATGGGAGGGGGCACAGTATATTTCTCAAGATAATAATTATTTTTATTGCTTCAAACAATGTTTGAAACTAATGTTTCAAAATTAATGCTTCAAATATGTGAAAGGTGCCAATCATTGTGGCATTGTGGCACCTTTAATCACTCAGGAGGCAGAGGCAGGTGGATCTCTTGAGTTTGAAGCTTCTGGCCTACAGATCCAGGCCCAGGATGGTCAGAGCTATGTGAGAGACCGATCTGCCAACAACAACAATTCCAGCACTAAGGAGGCAGAGGTAGGTGGATCTCTGTGAGTTCAAGGCCAGTCTGGTCTACATAGCTGAGTTCCAGGACAGGCTCCAAAGCTACAGAGAAACCCTGCCTCGAAAAAAAATAAAAACCCAAATGTGTAAAAGTTCATATGAGACATGGACTCCTGGACTCCAGAATCAGTTCAGATGAAAGGAACCGAAATGACAACTAGGCGCTGACTGGACCCTGGACTTCTGTTGCCAACAAGGGCACAAGGGGACCACTGACAAAGTTTAAACAAGGTCTGCAAGTTACACAGTAGGGTGCCGGTGTTCATTTCCTGGTCTTGCTGTTGGTCAATGGCTAGGAGAAGCTCTGACAATAACAAATACCCAGATACTGAAATACAGCAAGGTGCTGCCTTGCCATGAATTCACAACTTCATAAAAGAGAATATTTCTAACTGAGAAGTCCACAGGTTACACCCCCAGGACCAGTTACTGTGGAAGCGCTGTGGGAAACTATCAAGAGCCTTCAAGCCAAGCCCACTGATACAATGAATAATCTTGGTATTTCACAGCCTAAGAAAGGAAGATCAAGAGTTCAAGGCCAGTCTGGTCTATAATGCAAAATACTAGTTTCCTTCATTTCTTGACACCAGGTCTTGTTATAACATAGCCCAGGGTCACTTGAATTTACTGTACAATCCTCCTGCATTGACATCCCAAGGGCTCAGATTACAGAGCTTCTACAGTACTTACACTAGTGAAAGAGGGAGGGGAAGTGTTGGGAGGGTGTGAGAGGGGAAGGGAGTTGGGATGAAAGTGATCAAAATGCTATGTAAATATATTAAATATCAAAATATAAAGTTAAAATTCTTTCTAAAATATAAATCTCCTGTTCTTTGGCTAGGTTATTTCTACTCCAAGAATGCAGAATATCCATATTCTGAAACAGGGACTGAGATGTGTGCATGAAGGTGTTTGAAGTAGCACCATTTACAACAACACACAAGAAAGGATTCAAAGTCCATTTGGAAGTCCTGGATAGACATTACAAACCCATCAGTGATGGCTTTGCACGGGTGTTCACAGCATGGAAAGTGTTTTTATGAAAGGTGAACTCCATCTCATGAGGTTTTTTTCTGAAGCAAGGGTGGCCTGTTGATACCAGGCCAGTGGGCCACCTCACTGCCACAGGCTTAGTTGGATGCAGTGATTATTTTCTCTTTTATACGCTTATATATTCCCATATGCAGAAATCTCCATATTTTATCCAATGGGAACACATTATTTTCTAAAATAATAACTACACTTATTTTTATTGCTACATTAGAAATGAAAATAAACATGGAAAACTGCAAAAACCCACAACTCCAGAACAATGACTAAGCAATGCAGTGACCCTATTACTGGTAAAACTGACTTTCCTCTAGGGCCCAAGGATATAAACACAAAGGTCATCAGTGGCAAGATTACCGTCAGAATCTGCATCGGTTTAAAAACAAACAAAGGGATCAATGGATCCTGGCTACGTTTAGTCATTCAGCACAGGAGGGAAGCCTTCACGACTGTCTTAAATCTCTGCAGACACATGGGTTTGTAAGTCAAGCCTAAACCCAGACTGTTGGACAGTGTTGGCTGCTCTGGGAGGAGACCCTCAGGTCACGACCCTCTAACACACCTTTCTCCTCTATTTAGTTTTCTCTGACTGAAGAATTTAGTATTTCCTTCAGTACTAGTTTCTTTAATTTTAACTTGCCAGGCTTCACTTTGGACAGGTCTGGCTTATCATTCACTCATCTTGATGCCACTCCAGGGTAAGCTCCAGGCCACCAACAGGTCAGACCGCTGCTGGCTCAGGACCAGGCTGGGCATATGATTTACAGTTAGGAGAGAAAATGGACTGACGAGATAACTCAGCTGGTGAAAGTGTGTGTCCAAACTGAGAGTGGGAGAGAGACTCCACAGACACTGTGGCACTCAGGTCCACTCCTTATCCAAAAGAGATAAACGCAAAAGAAAAATGTAAACTAATTTTAAATACAAACTATACTTGTAATCCCAGTTCTTGTGAGGCTGAGGCTGGAGGACAGCCTCAAGTTCAAGGCTGGATTACATGGCAAGAAGTAGAAAGGAGGGGTAGAGAAGGCAGACTTTTGCTGAGGAAAGTCAAGGGGACTTCTGGGCTTCTGCCTGGTAGCAAATGAGGCTGGTGGGAGCAGAAGTTGGGCATGAGCCTTCATACTTGTTTTCCCACCTACTGCCCAGCTGGAGCTGTCCAATCAGTGGCAAGCAGGCTTACAGCTGGCACCTAGAGTCTCAAACTTCCTGGGAAGTTTCAAGCTGTTTCTGGGGAGGCCCTGCCTGTCCCTCACCCTCTGGGCTTGATCTTACCACCTCTTGAGCACCTAACTCTCATCCTATGAGTAAACAGGCCATTTTGGTGCCCTACCCCCTCTCCCTACCACACAGGCTCCCCATTCTTCTGATAAAGAGAGTTCTCTAGATTTGTGTCAAAAGGTTGGTCACCTTGCAGGAGGAGCTGGCAGGTTCCAGGAGGGCTGACCACACACACACACACACACACACACACACACACACACACACACACACACACACACACACACACACACACGGCATGCTCACCACATGTAAGAACCTACCCCAGGACTTGAGTCAGATGTGTAGAGCTGCACCTGTTCTGGAACAGTCACTGGCCAAGCACCTAGGCTGCTGTACAGAGGACTTGGTAGATGACCCACAGCCAGCAGCTGCTCCACCTGAGGTCACTGGCCCCAGAATACAAAGTTCCTCAGCACTAGGCTGCTGGAGGCCTGGGCTGTAGCCAAAGCTGAAATCAGGGGAAGGGGTGCCGCCTCCTGAGGCCATCATGGGCCACTGGCTGCCTGGGAGGGCCCGGCTAGGGAGGCGGGACAGTGGGTCTTGCAGAAAGTAGAGGAGCAGTGGCCTAGAGCCTGTTCCCTGGGCCCTCGGGGATGGGCGGGATTACAAAACAAGTGTTCTAAGGCTAGCAAGCGGCTGCGGCTGCGGACTTACAGGATGGAATTAGGACATACTGCCTCTTGAAGTTCAAGGCGCAAAAATGTCAAGCAGAGGGTAGAGTAGTGCCTTGGAGGGCTGCTTGGGAGGACTGGTGAGCGTGATGGAGGGTCCCACTGCTCACTATGCGACAGTTACAGGAGACCTCTGCTCCAACCTGCTCTCCTCGTGTTCAACACAATGCTTGCCCACACAGATAACAGAACACACCACCTTGCTCCTGAAGCATCTCCATTGCTAAATCCAGAATTTCCCTCATGGAATCCCACTGCCCTTCAGGCCCTACAACCAGGACCTTTCAGGATCATCAGCCAGAGACACCCTGCTGCAGGACAGCGGTGGATCCACTGGACAGTGGCCCATCAGAGGCCCTCACAGACCCATGTGACAGCTAACTGGAGTGTTGAGTTTGAGGGTCTGAAATGGTCCCAGAGAGCAGTTAACAAGGTTGACCAAGTTGCGCCTGAGCCTCACCACATCCTCCAAAGATGAAGGAACAGGACCCTCTGCACAGCTCAGGGAATGTCATAAAGCTTGGGGGTTAGGTGGGAGAGAAGAATATCTAGGGGAATGAGAAGATCTTGAGTGGGCACTGAGGCATGAGATGTCCTCCAGGTTCCCCAGAGTTCCTGCTTCGGGCACTAACAGGGACTTTCTTCACAATAGCACCGTTTCTAGTCACAGCCCTTCAGGCCAGTACTGTTCCAGGTGTCTCCTGTCACTCACTCCACATGATGGCACGGAAAAGAAGTGGAACTGGAAGGCCACCCTCCACTTAGCCCACACAGTGTCCTGTTGTGGGAGTATTTGGTTGGATGGTTACCATGAAGCCCTCATGGTTGACAATGTGACTGAGAATCTGATTTAAATCCTCTGAGGGAAAGCCCTCCTACTCAGTGACACCAGTGCACCTGGAGTTTGCACTAAGCCTGAAGCCCCCAGAAAGGATGTCTTTCTTCCTACATGGGAGGAAAGCTCTCCGATCTTACAGGCACAGCAACTGGCCCAGGGAACATGCCCCAGGAGACATCACACCATCTTGCTTGCTTTGAGTGACACACAAGCAGAACTCATTTCTTGCCCATGGAAAAGGACAAGTGACCCACTACTCCCCAAAGATCCTTCACCCCACATTCTTCTTCAGAGAGACAATAGCCAGAAGAGGCCTGTCTGCTATTTCCTGCAAATGCTGGCTTACAGATCCCTTTCTTGGTCTCGGGTTGTGCATTAAAAACAGGGAAATCAGACTGCTGTGACTGTCACTGGAGACATGTAAATAACTCCTCTCAAGCAAGACAGAGAAGCAAGGAGTGTCTGGCGCATCTGTTTCTCTCTCACCACTTCTCAAGACAGCACATGGAAGACTTTATGTCTTCCTGCCTCGGTTTTCTCCAACACTGGATCTATGAACTCAGCATTTCCCCTTCCAGACAGAAGATTGTGTTGCTGGGATGGTGCCTACAGCAAAATGCTGAGTGAGGCAGGTTTAAGGTCCTGACATCACAGGCGCTAGGTCTGTTGTGCTGTCCATGTGGATTGTACAGTGCCGTGCAAACACCAAGCTCCCAAGTGCCAGCCGGTGATTCTTAGGAAGCCACTCCTTAAGAGGCTCCTTCACAGATCATTAGTCAGACACTTAAGGGTTAACTAACACCAGCCATGTTTGAGTCCAACATTAACGCTTCCTTCCAGAGCTGGAGCTCTGAGCTGATAGCAATTAAGTCCCAACTATGAAACTGAGCTGTGACTTTCATCCAAAACACAGGAGACAGGCTCTTAGACACCAACACAACCAAACTAGAAAACCTATGATTTAAAAAAAAAAAAAAAAAAAAAAAAAACCTCCTGAGCTACAGCACGGGGCCACCTTCAGCACTCTGCTAAACACCAAAGCCAGTAACAATGCCAGTGGTCATGTGTCACAGAAACACCAGGGCAGGTTCAATTTGCCCAATAAATCACCAAATGTCCTTAGAAACTCCACTCCTTCAGACCTAAACTGTATCTTGCAAGCTGCCTCCTACAACCAGAAGCAGCACAGAATTCCACGACAGGCCAGTTTGGGTCCATTTAATATGGCCACTGTGCTGCCAAAGAGATGTGCTCCACCACGGAACAGCCCTGTCAGTGCTGCAGTCAAGTGGTAGGCCTAGGATGTTCCTTCTAGAACCTACATGGCTTTGATCTTAACTATATATGCTTTCACAGAGTAAGTAGCAGAAGAGTCACAAGGAAGGGAAAGGTGACATCCTGCCTGAGGCACTGGTAGTAAGTGGCTTCTGAACAGCAGCAGTCCTGACTACCTGTGCTGACTCAAGTTTGCTGGGAAGCAGCCAGGTGTGCAGAAAGAAGAAAGGACGACTCAGAAACAGGCCCTATGTCTATCACACTAGCCAACAAAGTCTGTTTCCCCCTCCCAGGCCCCAGCTCAGCCCACCCTAGCTATCCTGGGCCACTGCAGCAATTGCAAGCTGGATGAACCAGAGAGTCTTGGCAGAGCACTCCTCCCTGGTTGCCATTCTCTGGTGGATGTGCTCCTCTCTAGGCTGCTCCATGGTTGGTATCCTAAACATGTCTTCTGTGGGCCCAGGAACTGGCAGCCAAATAGAACAAATGAAACAAGAACATGTCTGGCTTTTTAGGCTACAGTAGCTGACATCAAAGCACCAGGGAAAGGACAGTTTGACCCTGTGGTTTCTGGGTAGAGGGAATGGAGGCTGGGAAGGTAGGGGGGGTGGGGTGTCACGAGGTAACAGAGAAGACAGAACAGCATAAGAGGGACAGCCAGTCTACGGGCAATGGGGGGTCTAGGAGCTTCAGTGAAACACTGAAACATTGTGGCAGATTGAGTCCCAAGGGTTCTAAGTAGCCCTGGGCAGAACTGGGCAACTTAGAATCGCCAGGGGCTATGTGGTCCAACGGTGCTCAGCAAGCTCCCATTCAAATGCCACAGGAGAAGAAAGCCAGCTATCTGCTGCTACACAGAGCTTCTACCTGTGCAAAAAGACGCAGGGATAGGAGGCAAGAAGTTATCTCAAGGGCTTGAAGGACAGCAGGAAGAGGACAAGGGACAGGGCACAGGGCACAGGGCACTGATGGCATGGAGATGGCCGCTCTGCCCTCTAGTGCAAGAAGCCATTACTACCAACCTGCTACCCATGCCCCACCCCCAACAGGAAAGGGCACTTGGCTGGATTTCTCCACATCCTTCAGGACTCTGAACAGAATTGCCTTCTGATATACCCCATCTCCCCAGCTGACTCTGACAGCCCTGCTTGGGCAGCCACCTCCCTTCAGCCATCTCCTTCCCACCCATCGAGCTCCTGCTGAGGCCATCTCCCTGAGGACAAATCTCAAGTCCTTAGCAAGGTACATTTATTTATTTTTTATTTATTTTTTTATTTTTTAATTTTTTTTTTTTTTAGTTTTTTCGAGACAGGGTTTCTCTGTGGCTTTGGAGCCTGTCCTGGAACTAGCTCTTGTAGACCAGGAACTCACAGAGATCTGCCTGCCTCTGCCTCCCGAGTGCTGGGATTAAAGGCCTGCACCACCATCGCCCGGCCAGCAAGGTACATTTAATATCACAACAACTTGCTGACCCATCTGTCTCTTTTTACTGGGCACTGTGAGCACCTTGGGCACAATATGCTTGGCTTAGCTTTCCCTCTACTCTCTCCATAACATTGTACATAGTGCCAGGCACCAAAATTAAATGTATGCCTGAGGCAGGTAATGAAGAATGAATGAATGAATCAAGGAATGAATAAACCAGGCCACAGAGTAAGCTTGCAAAATACAGTGGGGGTTAAAATTCATTCAAAAATATTATGGTACGTTCACCAAAAGTGAGCAAAGCTCAGCTCCTCTGGGAGTGGCGTACCCCAGCCGACGGTGCATACAGGTCTCCCTCCACGAAGTCTGGAGCCCAGTGCGCTGCTGGCAGGACAAAGGGCAAGGCAGTAGAGAGCACCTGGCAGACTGGCTGTTTGTCTCTGCCCCACATCCACATGCTGAAACCCTGACCTTGGACTTCCCAGCCTCCTGACTACGAGAAACAGCATGTGTTATTTGTAAGCTCCCTAGTCTGCAGCATTTTTTAAGTGACCCAAATGGACTCAGACACAAGCTAAAGGTGGGAACTAAGAAAGGCAAATTTCAGCTGGGCAGTGGTGGCGCACACCTTTAATCCTAGCATTTGGGAGGCAGAGGCAGGAGGCTCTCTGTGAGTTTGAGGCCAGCCTGGTTTACAGAGCAAGTTCCAGGACAGCCAGGGCTACACAGATAAACTCTGTCTCAGAACAAAACTACAACAACAAAAAGGCAAGTTTCAGGGCTGATTGTGGTGAGTGTTGAGAAGCACCTCACTGGCCCATGTCTGCAGTAAGGCAAGGCAGACAACAGATGCTGGCAGATGGCCCAGTGTTTCCAGAGAGTCATGTTGGCCTCATCTCCCTTTATATACTCCTCTTTCATGGTCTAAGATGGAGGTGAAAGGCCCTGGCTGGATAAGAGCAGGACTCTCAGAAGTCTTGAGGGCCTGGTACATTCAGGACACATAGACTGACTTGTGTCCCTTCAAAAAAAAAAATGCCTTAAAGTCCTGCCCCTGTACTTCAGAGTATGACCTCATCTACAAATGGAGTCTTTACCAAGGAACTCGGATAGTTATTGGATGGCATTCGTAATCCAATATATGCCTGGTGTCCTTCTAAAATGGGGACACAGGGATGGAAGATACACAGATGGA